TTGGTCGGGGGTTTCTGTGAGATCTGTGAACCTTCCCCCCTTCTTTTTCTCTTCCTCACTTAACTCTCTTCACTCAAAAACTCTCATTCTCTACTCACTTCCTCATTTTCCTTTCTTGCTGACTCTAGGTAGCGGTGAAGAGTAATTTGGATTGCTAGTTGTTTGTTCGGAGCCCCCTTTTCTCTCCTTCGGTTATTCAAGCTCATTCCTTCTTCACTTTCGTTCTCCCCTTCCCGGAAGCTCAAAATTCTTCGCACCGAGGTAAGGGAAGCTGGTCCTTTGTTTTGTTTGGCTGAAAACGAGTTATAAGAACTCTTTTGTGGTATAATGTTTGCTACATTTGAGCTAAAAACTGCTGAAATTGATGAAATGGGGTTCTTCGGGTTTTCGAGGTCTTTGCGGAAATTTTGAGTAATTCTTGATTTGTGTTTGCATGTCGAAAATGAGACGTTTTTGTTGATACTTGGTGAGAATGGGAACTTTTGGCTGGGTTGCATGTTGGTTTTCTGTTGATTTGCGCAGGTTTTGATGAAATTTTCGAAGTAGGTAAGGGTTCTTGTTTGAATTTGCGCCGGGCGCAGTTCTTCGCGCCGGGCGTGAGTTGAAATGAGGAATCCCGGGGTGAATCACGCCGGGCGTGGGGAGGACCACGCCGGGCTCACGATGCGCTGGGCGCAGGATGATTGAGCCAGGCGCAATAGACCTCTGTAGGTCTCTGGTTGAGAATTGCGCCGGGCGCGATTTTAATGAGCCGGGCGTGCATTTGATTTTCAGAATTTGACTTTATAGTCTTCATGAAAGTTGTAGCCTTAGAGGTTAGCTTTCCAATGGCGCTGGAATCACTCAAAAAGGAGTTTTAGAACTCTAGATATAGCTATTTTAGTGGAGAGGGGTCGAGCTGCTAGCTTTATTTATAGCTGTTGCGGTTTTTATCATTTTTAACATGGTTGATGAAGGAATTAGGACTTGGTGTCTTCATGAGAGTTGTAGGAAATCTTCTTATCTTTCATATGAGATAAGGATGAGTATGGTGGGAGTAGTATAACTCCTGACGTGCTATTTTCTGTGATGGCTGCCATTTCACCTTTAGTGATTTGGTTAAGTTGAAAGTTGTTTTAGGTGCTTAGATTGATTGGTGTCGTTTGGATGGGTAATTTGACAAGATAGATGAGTTGTAAACAAGGTGTATGAGTCGTATTATGTGTAGAATATGTTGTATGTCGTATATGCTGTTAATGATGTAATGCTACGCTGTAATAGATATATATATAGCCGTGCTTATATATATATATATACTGCCGTGCTGAGTTGGGCTGTCATGGAGGATTTTCATGTTGAATTAAAATATTGTTGTACTATAGACTGTTGAGTTTAAGTAGAAGCTGTTGATTATAATGTGATGACTTGTGGTTAACGCTGCTTGTTGATGTTGAGTTGTATCAATTATAAATTGTTGTAAGTTGATTATGTTGAACTGTATCAGTTGTATGCTGTTGTAAGTTGATCATGTTAAACTGTATCAATTGTATACTGTTGTGAGTTGATATGTTGAGCTGTATCAGTTGTATACTGTTGTGAGTTGATATGTTGAGCTGTATAGTTGTGTTGTACTGTGTGTTGATATTGAATGTTGTAGGCCGAAAGGTTGAGGTGTTGTAGGCCGTAAGGCTGAGGTGATGTAGGCTGAAAGGCTGAGGTGTTGTAGGTCGTAAGGCTGAGGTGATGTAGGCCGAAAGGCTGAGGTGATGTAGGCCGAAAGGCTGAGGTGATGTAGGCCGAAAGGCTGAGTTGTTGATCACTAAGACTAGAGGAGTTTTTTTCGAAATTTCCTCATCCCATTGTGTGGATTGAGTGGCTGTGGTGCTCTTGGAGCCCAATTTATTGAAAACCCTCCCTGGAAAGCTGACCCTTGGAGTGGTAACTTGTTGTTCTCCCCTAAGTCTTAGTGGTCCCGTGTGTGGGCAAGGTCGAGACACACGTGTACAAAGCGACCACAGTATAGGGGCCAGGTCGACCTATACCGATTACAAGCGACTAATATTAACTTATATGCGTGACGACGCATTGTATGTTTTATTGCTGTTATGTTGTATGACTGATGATGTGAGATGTGTGCTGTTATTGCTGAATGTTGTGGTATTTTAAGTTGATGTTATTAAGCTGGTTGATGTACTAATAACTGTAGCTATTTTCTATTCACATATTTATATATGTATGTTATTTGCTTTCACTAGCTTACCCTTTGTTGTTTCCATGTGGTTTGGACTGCGATGATCATACTATGTATGGGAGCAGAGCAGGGTTAGACGGGTGATAGTGGCAAGTCTGCAGCTGACAAAGGGAGGAGTCTTGTTTGGCTGATGTTTTGTTGTTGGGCCACTATCTGGCTACTTTGGTTGCATTTTGTTTTGTACACTCTAACTCTAGTCGGATTGGGACATTGTATATATTTATATTCTAGATCCTATATTTATATACTCGTTCTATTTTGTCTAGTATTTCCGGTGTGCTGTGGTTAGGGGTGGGTATGCGGACCGGTCCGGCCCGTTTAAGGCCCGGTCCGCGAAATCCGCATTTTTAACGGGCCGGATAAATCCGGTCCGCGAAATAAATGGACTTAAATTTTCAAGTCCGTATCCGGCCCGTGAAACCCGCGGATAAACGGATAAGTCCGCGGGCCCAATTAAATCTAAATTTTTTTAATGAATATTGACACATTTAATGAGATTTTGAATTTCTTTTTCTTTATTTAACCTATGAAAACATGAGGAAAAAAAATACATATAAAATGATATAAATATACTTCTAATAGTAACATCAAACATTATATAAATAATAAACCAAAGTCTTAAATAACAAAGTTTATACATTCTAAATTTCTAATAGAAATATTTAAGTCTCAATGCCTTTAAAATTTAAAGTCCAAGCATACCAACTATTAACCAAATATTAAAGCCTTACTACCTTAAAACTTTAAAAGTCTTAATACACAACCAAACAAATTTAAAGTTCCACATTTAAACGGGTAATCCGCGGGCTCGCGGATTAAATCCACAAAATCCGCGGACTGAACGGGCCGGACCTAAAAAGTCCATATGATTATACGGATTAAAAAAATTGAGTCCGTTATCCGTGAAGTCCGCGGACTTACGGACCGGTCCGCGGACTCGAGTCCATATACCCACCCCTAGCTGTGGTTGTGAGTGTAGTAGCCAGCCGGGTCGTTACAGTTTCCGCTCGGCAGAGGGGATCTGGTTAGGCGGTTCCGCGTGGCAGAGGTTTCAGACATGCATGCGCTCGGAGGGAGTCGACCAAGAGCAATAATAATTGCCACGTATGTTTAAGAACCGTTGCTTCTACAAGCAACAAAGAAAAAAATTTAAGAACCCTTGCTACCACGTATGTTTACTCCAACGGGAAGTTCTTGTAAGCACCGTTACTTACAAGTAAGACACACTAAACACCTCCCACTGGAAGTGCTCTTACATATCGAATGATTATTATATTATTTTTAATCATAATTTCAATTCTACTACTTTACATTTCTTTTACAAAATCTTATTTTCTATTTGTTGTTTTCTAAACTTTGACTTGATCACTTCTTCAAAAATCTTTAATTTTTTCATTTCTAAATATCAATTTCTTTTCTAAATTTCCACTCTTTTATATTTTAGATTTTTAGTATTTTTGCATTTTTATGCATTTTAATTGCATTTATTTATCCTAGTATTTTGATTATAATTTATTTCCTTGACCAATCTTCGAAATTGATAAAAAAAATTTTAAGCATAAATCCAAAACAAAAAGTGTACTACAAAGGTTAAAGGTCTTCAAATAAAGTAAATATCACTCCCCTCAAATATTTACGAGATTATGTTTATTGATATAAAATACATAAAATTAAACTATTTGGATGAAGATAATAATGGCGAGTAGGATCTCCAAGAACCTAAAGCAAATTTTAATGTGAAACTTTTATAAAATTTATCAAAATTATAGAAAAATGGATCCTTGTAAAAAATAGAATAAATTTTTACCCAATAATGTTTAACTCTATTTTTCAAAAAAAAAAACAAACACCAAATCATTATTATATTAAATCAACTAATAATAAAATAATATAAATACTAATATAATATATATTTTTTTTGAGAGAGCTAAAATAAGAACTTTCTTATCTTTAGAATTGGACCCACACTAATGGTGAAACGGGGAAAGTAGTATATACATGTTTTAGTTTTGAACTATGTTTTCATCAATATAATTGTTAAATATTAAAAAAATTGAAAAATTTCACCATCAGCAATAATGAGAAAACTTACTAAGAAACCATTGTTAAAATTGCTCTAATTAATTCTTTCTCTGTCTTCCTCAAGAAATACCGCCAGTTTAACACTGTGGGACAAAGAAATGATCTTTTTTTTTTTTTTAAAGTTGTAATTTAACTTTAAAATTCTTATTTGAAACATTAACTTTAAAGTATTTTTTAATTAAAGAAATTGGGTCAAACACAATCGAAATCTGATATAATAAACACTTGTAAAATAATTGATCAGTAATGAAAAAAAAATTAAATAATTGCCTAATTAAACGGCTAATTCAAACACAGTTTTAATTTTCTTCTTGGATTGTATTTTAATTTTAATTAGGAAAAAGATCTGACAAATTGAATTTCCCAGATTATTTTCAGAGGTTCTCCAAATACACGTTCTGGGTAGGTATAATTTGATTCATCATGATGGCAACAAAAGCTTTGTTTTTTCAAATAAACTCCTTAAAGCAGAAGCATTAAACTCGTCGTTGGTGGCACCAACTTAGCAAAGAGTCAACGAGTTTCCTCAAACAATAACATCGCACTCGCACACATCTACGAGTAAAAAGTCTCCGAGGGCATTTTAGTAATTACGACTCCAATAAATACACTTATTATTAAAAAACCCGAAAATTAAAGAATAAATAAATAAAAATTATACGAAGGTTTGGTTCGTTGAAGGCAACAAGAGAAGTTGCACAGCGCGAGAGAGAAAAACACGAAGATATATAATAGCGAAGAGAAGAAGCGCCAGATACAAAGTTTTTTTTTTTTCCTTTTTCTCTTTATATCGATTTGTCAAACAGAGTCTCTGAAAAACACGCGATTCTCTTTCTCTCGAAGCCGTACTTCTGTCTGCGCTTCTCGATCTTCGCTCGCTCAGCCTTTTTCTTCCTATTCGCATCGTCTGCGATTCTCTCTTCGATCCGCGCCTTTCATTTTCTCCTTCATTTCGCGGTAATTTTCTCTTCCTTGCTCTCCCGCGTTGCGCTTTTCCACTCTTCTCTTTCGATTATTTAACGCACGCGCGGAGCTTCGCTTGCGTGCGTTTTTGCCGTTCGCGAATGCGTCGGAGGTTGCTCGCGTTCCGATAAAACCCTACATTTGCTTTGGTTGTGACGTATTTGTTTTCCCTTCGTGGATTTTTGGGATTTAGGGTTTTGAATTGGAGCTTCGGGATTGCGGAGAGGCGAAGCGTGTGCAGCATGAGCATTGACAGCCCCGGCGGAGTGCAGGATTAGGGTTTCGTGGTTTTTTTTTCGAAGGTTGGGATTTTCCATGGGCGATGGAGGCGTGGCGTGTATGCCTTTGCAGCAGCAGCAGCATGTTATTGAGAGGTTGCCGAATGCGGCGGAGAAGTCGCTTTGCGGAGGCAAGAGTGGGAATGGGTTCAGTTCTGGATTGCTCAAGGTTGCTGGCAAGAGGAAGAAGAAAAAGGTAAAGGTGAAGAAGAAAGTGGCACCTGCTGTGAAGAAGGTGGTGAAGGGTGAATTGGCATCGGACAGTGTGAGCGGCGAGGGCGGGGAGGATGTTGAGAGTGGGGAAGTGTGTGGGGAAATGGAAGAGGGTGAACTGGGGACCTTGAAGTGGCCCGGGTGTGAGCTGGAGAATGGAGAGTTTGTGCCGGAGAAGCTGGCACTGCCTGCACGGAGAAGTGAAATTGAGAGTGGGGAGATTGTGAGTGAGAGATGGAAGAAAGGGGAGGCGGAGAGGGGGGAGTTTGTTTGTGGAAAATGGAGAAAGGAGGATGTGGAGAAAGGGGAGATAGTTGCTGAGAAGGGTAGGAAAGGAGAAACTGAGAAAGGGGAATATGGGTCATGGAGAGGTGGAGTTAAGGATGATATTGAGAAGGGAGAATTCATTCCAGATAGGTGGCATAGGGGAGACACGGGGAGGGATGATTATGGTTACCCTAGACCCCGAAGGTACCTGCCGGGTAGGGATAAAGGGTGGAAAAGTGAATGGGAACATGCACCACCTTCAGGAAGACATACAGGTGATGAGTATTTCAGGAAGAAGGAATTGAATAGAAATGGATGTCAGCATGCTAAAAGTGCTCCCAGGTGGGAGAGTGGGCAAGAAAGAAATATAAGGATCAGTTCAAAGATTGTGGACGAGGAGAAAAATGAACACAATAATAGTAGGACCCATTTGCGGGATTACACCTCTGGAAGTCGGTTGAAGAGGCATGGTAATGAATCAGAAAGCTGTGAGCGGAACTATGCAGATTATACTGGTTTAAAAAGTCGAAGGCTTACTGATGATAGCTCGCGCCATGCTTATTCAGAGCACTATTCTCGTCTCTCCATGGAAAGATCTTATAGAAATAGTTCTTCAAAATCATCAGCAGACAAGTATTCTTCTAGGCATTATGAGTCTTCTTTGCCTAACAGATCAGTTTATGACAAGCATGGACGCAGCCCTAGTCATTCTGAGCGATCCCCACATGATCGGGCCAGGTATTATGATTATAAGGATCGCACTCCTGTACGTCGTTCACCCTACAGCCGTGAGAAATCTCCATATAGCCGTGACAAATCTCCACATGGTCGGGAGAGATCCCCATATAATAGGAATTGGGATAGAAGTCGTCACCACGATCATAAAATAAGAAGTCCTACTCATGCTGAGTGGTCCCCACAAGATCGAGGTCGACATCATGATCGGAGGGACCATACTCCAAATTTAATGGAGAAATCCCCACATGATCAAACTAGGCCAAACATTCATCAAGAATTAAGCAGTAAATCCTTATCAAGTGATAAACATAACTCACAACATAGTTGTAAGGATCATGAAGATAACGAGGACATCCAAAAGGAGTCAAATCTTTCTGATATAGAATCTCAAGGTGAAAGAAATGTGCATAATGCCAGCAAGTCTATTGAGAAAGATGTCTGCAGTGAACCTGAAAAGGAACAACACTCCTGTAGTCCGATTGTAAGCAGCAAAGACTCTCCTTGCTTGGAGCCATCACCTGAGGAGCTACCTTCTATGGAAGAAGATATGGACATATGTGATACTCCACCACATGTCCCTTTGGTGGTGGATTCGTCATCAGGGAAATGGTTTTACCTTGATTATGATGGTGTAGAACATGGACCTTCTAAGTTATCTGACATCAAGGTCCTTGTTGGTGATGGTGTGCTAATGTCAGATCACTTTATTAAGCACATAGATAGTGACAGGTGGCTAACTGTTGAAAATGCAGTATCACCGTTAGCTGCTCAGAGTTTTCTATCAGTTGTGTCCGACACCACAACCCAGTTGGTAAACCCTCCAGAAGCTCCTGGTAATCTTTTGGCTGATACTGGAGATATTCTTCAATCCGGTCCTGAGAATTATCAGGGAATCCCTGCCCCTTTTCTGCAGCCAATGTTATGCTCTGAAGACAGTGGGATTGCATCTGACTTGTTGGAGGACCTCCACATTGATGAAAGGGTTGATGTTCTGTTAGACGGTTATGATGTTATTCCTGGAAAGGAGTTTGAGGCAATAAAAGGTTTTTTGTTCTGTGACTCCTGTCAATGATATCTATGTTGATTTCTTTTACCAAAAAACATAGATTTCTTACATCAATCTGTAATTTTTCTGTTATTTGCTGCAATATCTTATCTTTCTGAACTCATTTATTTTATCATCTTGCAGAAGCCTTGCAAATGAACTCTGAATACGCAAAATGGGAGGGATTGGGAGAGTATGAAGGTACTTAATTGCCTGACAGTTCTTGGCCATTTTTATTTAATTTTTTAATCAGTTTGAATAATTCAATGTTCATTTTGGTTGATATTTCTTCTTCTAGAAGGGTCATGTGGTGGTTGACAATTTATATTCAAGGAAATGGTCTTTTCTATGACTTATTTTTTTCTGTTTTAATTTTTTGTTTTCACTTTAATTTACAAAAATGTCACCTTGTTTTCTATTTGTTTCCCGTTTTCACTTTTTTGTTTGTTTTCTCTATTTCCTCTACAAACATGTGAAAATAAGGTGATACTTTTGTAATTAAAAGTGAAAACAGAATAAAATTTGGAAAAGAAAACATAAGTCATCAGGCCCTTAGGGGCTGTTTAGTTTATGAAAATGTTTTCTATTTTCATTTTGTTTTTATTTTCTGAAAATATTTTTTATTTTCAAATTTTAAGATTTAGAAAATATGTGGTTTGGTTTTTAGTTTTCTATTTTCAGAAAATGAAAATATTAAAAATATGTTTGGTTTAACTATTTTCACATGCATAATAAAATTGCTATGCTCCACTTCATCTGTTCCAAAACCTCCTCTATAACTGTCATAAGCATAGAGCCAAAATGCCAAATCTCATAAAATGGCATAGACGCATGCACAAGTGACCCACTGTTGCTCCAGGACATTTTGTCAAACTAGTTTCAATGAAAAACTGTAAAACAAGTTGCCATTAAAATTATGAAGCATGCCACCGATTTCATTTTTACTGAAAACAATGAAAATGATTTTATTTTTGTTTTCATATTTGGACTTATTATTGAAAATATTTTCAAAAGATGGAACAAACATATTTTTAATATTATTTTCTATTTTCAGCTAAAATGAAAATAGAAAATGGGCTAGCCAAACAGCCCCTTAGGTTCTTGTTAATTGATACGTGGTGAATATTGTGAAGTAGGTAGAGTTAATGAGTTTTCTTCTTTGTAATGAAAGCTTCTTGTAGTTTCTAATAATCTTCTGGTTTCACATTATGACACGACGATTTGATGTTGATAATAATTTGTAACTTGCATATATGCATCAAATAGATGGGCAACTGTTACTTGGAAATATTATCTATTCAAACCAATGCATGGGGAGTTGATTTCTATTATGAAATTGTTATTAAATGGCCTATATTGCACAATAGTGGTCATTTATAAAATACATAGTAGTTTATTAATAAGTCCAGTTTTGATACCATTATACTGTTGTACTGCTCGCCTGAATCTTCTATTTCTTTATGTTGAACAATTAATTTGCATTATGCTCACTCAGTCATGTATTATGGTTTAACATGTCATTGCAGCTTTACAAGTAATATCATGGTAGCATAAACGTTTGGAATTATGTACTCTTATAATTTGCAAGTACGTTGGGTGAATAACAAAATATTTTGACCTCAATAAAATTATGCATTTTGATATGAACTGATGAGATTTTAAGCAAAGTTGTGAGTTTTATGTCATGGTGAGCTTAAAGTGGTGATTTCATTTTCCTGTTATGCACCTAGAGGTGCACTGAAGTTTGCATTTTGGAGAAGTACAAAAAGCAAATTGGATATGCATGTAGTGGTGTGTGCTCCATGATAAGTATTTTGTTGTCTCTTTTTGTTCAGGGTTTCCTTTGCATGATACTTGCCTGAGGATAGAACATGATTCAAGAATTGATTCATCAACTGAATATGAGTCTCAGGTAAGTATACCCTCTGACAACAACAATGGATTTACACTTGGTGTTCCTGGTGATTGGTTTTCTTCTCAATGGTCATGCAAAGGTGGTGACTGGAAGAGGAATGACGATGCCCAAGATAGATATTGTAATAAAAAACTTGTCCTTAATGATGGGTTTTCATTATGTCAAATGCCCAAATCTGGATGTGAAGATCCTCGTTGGACTCAAAAAGATGACTTGTATTATCCTTCTCACAGTAGGAAGCTTGATCTTCCTCTTTGGGCTTTTTGTGCTGATGAGAGGGTTGACTGCAGTGCTGTGAGCAAACCAGTTCAAACTAAGATAGCTTCTATTAGAGGAGTGAAAGGAAATATTCTTTCAGTGGTAAGGATAAATGCTTGTGTAGCCAAGGACCAGGGATTATTGGTCTCAGAGTCACGTCAAAAGACCCGAGGCAAGGATAAATATCATTCAAGGTCAACTCGGCCTTTCTCTTCAACCAGTGACAGCAAGAGATCATCAACTGAAAAAGATTCTCATTCAAAAGCTTTTAATGATCAACGTTCTCAAGGCTCTTGTAGGAGCATGGATTTCATTAATATTCCTAAAGACCATCTTTCTACTGTTCATGACTTACAATTACATTTGGGCGATTGGTATTATCTTGATGGTTCTGGGCGTGAAAGAGGGCCTTCATCTTTTTCAGATCTACAATGTTTAGTAGACCAAGGAATTGTAAAAAAGTATAGCAGTGTGTTCAGGAAATGTGATAAACTCTGGGTCCCTGTTACCTCTTCTGCTGAAACATATGATGTCAGTCTAAGAATGCAGCAAGAAAGTGGTACAGTGTCTGGTGAATTTTCTGGACATCCATCAAAGCAGATTCATTGTGCTTCATATGGTGAACCTGACTCAAAGTCAAATTTGTTTAACAGCCTTCACCCTCAGTTTGTTGGTTATACTCGTGGGAAGCTACATGAATTAGTGATGAGATCATATAAGAGCCGGGAATTCACTGCTGTTATAAATGAGGTTTTAGATCCCTGGATCAATGCAAGACAGCCAAAGAAAGAAATTGAGAAACAGATATATTGGAAATCTGGTAACAATTCTGCCCCCTATTTTTAGTTATCCTGTTGTCTGTTTGCATTAGCTAAGATACTTGTACTGCTATGGATTGTATTGTTTTATACCTTGACTAATTGAAAGGTATATTGTTTGGATTATCCTCCCTCCCTTTTCCTCTCTGTGTTTATCCTTACCATATTTCTTCCAATCATTTTTATTCAAACTTATTTTTTGTATGCTTGGGTTGGGTGATACCCAAGTTTGTTTGGTGATATATATATATATATATATATATATATATATATTAACATTCGCTTCCAGCTACTATGCTCATACACAATGATATGTCCCCAATATTTGTGGTGTGGGACCTCCCTGCCCCTTTCCAAAATTTTCTTTCAAACATATCTGGCTCATCATGGTGAAACATTGTCGAGAGCTGGTATCGCTGAACTGCATGCCAAGCCGTGCAATACAGTAAAAAATCGAGTTGTGTCACTAAATGAAACAAATTGCTACTTCACTTTTTGTGTGCTCTTTAGGTGTTTGGTTATTATTTGGTATACTTTATGGGGTTATGTTGAGGAATTGGACTTTGCGCATGTTGGACATTGTATCCATATTATATTATAATAATATAATCATATACAGGGGTAATTGAACTAACCTTCCATGAGGTTCATGGTAATTATATTTATTCCTTTCTAGATTGAAAAATTAATTCTACATCCCTTTATATTTTTATTTTTAAGGGTACTATTTGTATGGTCCACATATAAAATTGGGGTGGTATATGCACTTTTTTTTAATTTATTTTAAATGATGGGTATAAATATGTAAGAATAAGATATAAAGCAAATTAGATAGGTGTAATTATTCAATCAAGAAGGGTGCAAGTAGCACTAAATTATAAATATTTATTGTTCAAAATCTAATTTTTATATTTGAATATTATATAATCTCTTGTACTGTGCCTTAATTTTTGAAATTTTATGTTCCCCATAACTGTACTTTGACTTTCTTGTTCTATTTTTACTAGCAGTTTTGAGTGTGATTGACCGAGTGTTTTGGATGATTGCTGTTCATTGCATCAGTATGCATGTTAATATGCTACAAATTCTCTTGTTGACATTGTGCATATATTGGTTTAATTTATGTATGTCACTCTAAGTGCTCTGCATATATCATTTGGCTTCTAAAATTCTTCGCCTGGCAAATGTGGGGCTAATTTATTTTGCTTTAGCCTTATTTACTGGTGTGACCTGAATAAGATTGTGAGTTTAGCTCATTGGTTAGTATTGTTTCCTTAGCTAATTTTTCTGCTTTCTTTTTCATTCACTTTTATGAAATTTATACTTTACATGTAGCTATCCCAGCATCCTAATAGTTTTCATTCAAGTGAACTACTTATAAATTTTATTGATTTATTGCTTGGTGTGTGTATGTGTGTTATATTTCTTTTAGAAGGTGATGGACATGCTTCCAAAAGAGCTCGGATGCTGGTTGATGACAGTGAAGAAGATAGTGATTTTGAAGATGGCAGCCTGACAATTGAGAAAAATGAATCCACTTTTGAAGCTCTATGTGGTGATGCTACTTTCTCTGGGGAAGGAAGTGGCATTACTGATTCCATGGTTGGAAGCTGGGGTTTATTGGAAGGTCGTTTATTGGCACGAGTATTCCACTGTTTGAGGTCTGATCTGAAGTCACTTGTCTTTGCATCAATGACTTGCAAGCATTGGAGAGCTACTGTAAGGTCTTACAAAGTGGTCTCAAGGCATGTTAATTTGTCATCGTTGGGTCATTCTTGCACTGATTCCATAATGTGGAACATTTTGGTAGGTTCAGTTTATATTTTACATAAAACATTGTAAAGAGTTTTTCCTTGGCTTTCTTAACTAATCAGATTATTTGCTTGCAGAATGCTTATGTAAAAGACAAGATTGAATCTATGGTTCTAATGGGTTGCACCAATGTTTCTGCTGGCATGCTTGAGAAAATTCTTCTTTCATTTCCTGGTTTAACTACAGTAGACATTAGAGGGTGCAGCCAGTTTGTAGAGCTGACTCCTAAATTTACCAATGTGAAATGGATCAAGAGCCGGGGTTCACGCTTAACCAAAATTGCAGAGGAGCCACATAAAATCAGAAGCCTTAAACAGATTGTTGATCAAACTTCATCTCTTTCCAAGGTCAGCAGTTTTTGTATTAGGGATGATTTTGGTGAGTTGTCAGATTATTTTGATAGTGTGGATAAGCGAGACACAAAGCAATTTTTCCGTCAAAATTTGTACAAGCGGTCAAAATTATATGATGCTAGAAAGTCCTCTTCCATTCTATCTAGAGATGCGCGTACAAGACGATGGTCAATTAAGAAATCTGAAAATGGTTACAAGATGATGGAGCAATTTCTTGCTTCAAGACTGAGGGAAATTATGAAGGCAAACTCCTGTGACTTTTTTATGCCTAAGGTACAGCAATTGGTTCTGCAATAAATTAGTAAGTAACTATGACAGATTTATTTTGTGATTCACATTTCATTTTTTTTTCCTTTGCTTGTAGGTTGCAGAAATTGAGGCTAAAATGAAAAATGGTTATTACAGTGGGCATGGGTTGAGCTATGTCAAGGAGGACATCAGTAGAATGTGTCGGGATGCAATAAAGTAAGTCTTATGATTTTTATCCCACTTTTCTTAACAGAAGTAGTCAAAGAGATGTTGGCCATTTTTATCTGATTCTATGGCTGTTATTTGGGTGTCTGTGTATGAAATCATAGGCTTATGCTGACAAGAAGACAAAAGACCCTATTATCTCTTAGTAGTTTGGAAAAAATTTTATCGTGTACTTTACATGGTCAAAGTTAACTTGTTCTATGAAATAGAGGTACCTAAACCTTATTCGTCTTCTTGTCATGGAAGTTCATATATGTGAAGTAGATGTACCTAAACCTTAATTGTCTTCTTGATTTCTTGTCATGGAAGTTCAAATATTTGATTATTAGCTGTTGTTTTGCAGTTATACTATTATTTCATCCATGATTTGTTTGTAGGGCTTACATTAATCTTGGTTATTTTGTGTCCTCATATTTTCATGAAAATTTTTAAGATTAAAAGTTGTTGCTGGATGCTTTTGCTTATGGATTTGTTCATTAAACACAGGTTTCTTAGTTTTCGCCCATCATTTATTTAAATCTTAATGTATTTATTTTTTTATTGATTACAGAGCAAAGAATCGAGGTGATGCTGGTGATATGAATCATGTTATCACATTATTTATTCAGCTTGCATCACGGTTGGAAGGTAATTCCAAGTATGTGAACGACAGAGATGCACTAATGAAGATGTGGGGAAAAGACCCACCATCAACTCTCTGTTCTACTTCCTCTAAGTACAAGAAGAATAGATTGGTATCTGAGAGGAAGCATAGGAATAATGAAACACTAGGTGGTTTGGATAATAATGGGGAATATGCTTCTGATAGAGAAATTAGGAGGCGTTTATACAAGTTGAATAAGAAATTTTTGGACTCAGAGAGTGAGACATCTGATGACTTTGATAGATCATCCGAAGATGGAAAGAGTGATAGCGATGCTGAAACTGCTGATACTGAAAGTGACCAAGATGTCCGTTCAGATAGTCGAATTGGGGAGTCAAGGGGAGATGGATGTTTCACACCTGATAATGGGTTAGATTTTATCACTGATGAGCGTGAATGGGGGGCTCGCATGACGAAAGCAAGCTTGGTTCCTCCTGTTACTCGGAAGTATGATGTCATTGATCAGTATATTATTGTAGCTGATGAGGAGGATGTGCAAAGGAAGATGCGGGTTTCATTACCAGATGACTATGCAGAGAAGCTGAGTGCGCAAAAGAATGGCATTGAGGAGTCTGACATGGAACTGCCTGAAGTCAAGGATTACAAACCTAGAAAACAGCTTGAAAATGAGGTCATTGAGCAAGAAGTTTATGGAATTGATCCCTATACGCACAATCTTTTACTTGATTCTATGCCAGAGGAGTTGGATTGGTCTCTACAAGAGAAGCATTTGTTTATTGAAGACAAGATCCTTCGGATGTTGAATAAGCAAGTTAGGTATTTAACTGGAACTGGAAACACTCCAATGAGCTACCCTTTGCAGCCTGTTATTGAGGAAATTGAAAGGTATGCAGAGGAGCACTGTGATGCGAGAACAGTGAGAATGTGTCAAGGTATCTTAAAAGCCATAGAAGGTCGTCTGGATGATAAATATGTAGCTTACAGAAAGGTATATGATCTTTTGACTCATACAAAAATTTAATAGTTATCTTCCAATGGTTCTCTAGATTCTAGGGGTTCTCAAGTTTGTAGCCTTCTTTGAACTATTATGTTTCCTTGTTCTTTAACTGTCTAATAGTCTGGATCATGCAGGGGCTTGGTGTTGTTTGCGACAAGGCAGAAGGCTTTGGTGAAGATGATTTTGTTGTGGAGTTTCTAGGGGAGGTATGGATTTATATATATAATAATTTTAATTATTATAAAAATATACAATTATATAATATCTATACTAATTTGTACTAATATATAAAGGAGATATTCTTTTTAGTAACTACTTTGGTCTCCACATTTTGTTGAGTATTTTACCCTTCTGTTTTAAAAAAATAAAAAAAAAAATATTTTAATCAAATTCAAGAACTTGAAACTAATGGACTAATTATAATATCTGTTAGACCAATATACTTTTATTACTTAATTTTTATTTTTATTTTATCTTTTCGTGCCTCGACCTCACTAGTTTTATAATGAAGACTAAAAATATTGGCATTAAAAATATAAAAAAAAACTATATCTTCATGATATTTTCCCAATGCAGCTTTGTTTATGAATGTACAAGCTTTATATGCTTACTTAGCAGGTTTTTTGTATACTAATATTATAATTTGGGCTTAGGACCTAACTCAACTCTGGCATGTAAAATGAGAATTGCCCAAGCCTTACAAGGATTACATTGGTCATATCCTTAGTCAATGTGAGATCTCAATACTCCCCTCACACCCAAGATTAGACATTTAGAGTGTTGACAAATGCGGGTGACCCAATAACATAACACTCCTCAAGCTTAGGAATAGACATCTAGAGTGTACACATACATTTGGCCCAAAAATGGATCTAGGATAGATTTCGATACAATCTTATAATTTAGGCTTAGGATTTAATTCAACTCTAAAAAACTTGCTTGTAAGGATTATATTGACCATATCTCTAGCAATGTGGATCTCAACAAATGTCAAAGATCTAGAAAATAATGTATCTATTAGATTGTGGATAATTGTGTGCTTGTGATGTTCTATGTTTCCCATCATGATCAAACTATATATGATTGATTCTCTGCAAACCTAGGTCATGCATTTTAACATATTAGGAGGGTATGAGGTGCAGATGCTTAGTTTTTGGTGTTTTCCTGTAACATTGTGGCCTTAAATATTGTTCTAATTTTCCTCGTGTCATTTTATTTATCATTTCCTCCTCAAGGATCTAGAATATTTCTGGATTTGCTAGCTTAAGTTTCACCACAAAAAATATTAGAATGTCTCAAGGACAATGTATGCTTATACATGAGGTGTTTATTCTTTTAAATTGACATGTTGTCATAGTTCAGTGCATCTTCTTTGTATAAGACTATCTTGTTTAGAAACCTAGTCTGCTCTCTGGAATCACATGCCTGTATGATTTTGTGATAACTAGGCATTGCTAATGACATTATTTTTATTAGGTGTATCCTGTGTGGAAGTGGTTTGAGAAACAGGATGGGATTCGATCTCTGCAGAAAAATAGTAATGATCCAGCGCCAGAATTCTATAACATCTACCTGGAAAGGCCAAAGGTGCCTATTTGTTATTTCAAGTTATGGATTTGCACATCTTTCAGGTTTCTGTACTAATGTAATCTTCAATTTACATGACAGGGTGATGCTGATGGGTATGACTTGGTTGTTGTTGATGCCATGCATAAGGCTAACTATGCCAGTCGGATATGTCATTCATGCCGACCTAATTGTGAAGCAAAGTCAGTTTGGTCTTCTGTAATTTTTCCTAATCTGTGTGCTGACTTGTTAAACCCTGATGCTTGTTCTGGTCTTTCAAAGCAAGTTTTCTTTGCTATTTTAGTGCACCACATGGATTTTTGGGGAACTACATATTCTTCAAAAGATTGTGTGCACTCATTTACCAACTGCAGTCAAGATAGTTTTGTTGTACTTGTTAAATCATTTTTTCTTCTTCCATTTACATAATGTGCATATGAGCAATGAAGAATGACATTATAAAATAATTGAGTTCTGCAATCATGTTAGTGTGGCTTCCTTAAAAAATATAGTACTTGTTCAACGGTGATATCTGATGACCAAATAATTGTTTTTTTGACATTTCAAAATCAATTTAAATGTATTTTTTATTTGGACAATTCTATTTTCAAGATTTTCAAAATTTGTTAAGGCTATTATTAGGATAATTTAATGAATATTGAGCATTTAAATGCCCAATTCTTCAAACATGATTATTGGTGTTGGATCCACTTTTAAATTGAAAAAAAAAATTGCATTCATAACATTATCTTATTAAGGTTAAAGGATTAATAGCTTGTGTTTATTCATTCAAGGTCATCTGATTATGGAAATTCAGATGTAAATAAGGCAACTAATAACATTTATGACCAAATGACCATATTTTCTTCTTTAAATTGATAAAAAAATCATAGGTTGCTTTTTAGGTAACATTTTTGTATATCGTTGGTAGTTTGCATGGGTATGGATAATCGACATGGTATGATTACATTAAGGTATCTTGAATATAAACATCTAAAACTATATTTTGTATATATTAGGATATATGCTATATAATTAATGACATCAGAGGGTATAGCAGAGTTTTAGAATTGTTCTAGCTACTTACTGTTGTAGTGAAAAATCCGTTTCAAATTTGTGCTCAACTAAAAAAATTTGTTTAAACCACTTTCTTTCCTAAATTGTTCCTCAAAATCCTCCAACCCCTCCTCACCTATCACATGTCTTATTGCCATTTGCATAACTGTCACAGATTTAGACAGTGAATCTGATATTTAATTAACTGACAAATTCATATAATTTTTCTTTGATTTGATCCTTAAGAATGCCTCTTATATTCATTAGTTGATGGTATTTTACATTTTTAATTAATATATGTTTTATCCCTAATTAACCATTGCATTTTTCAATTGTGTTTCCAGAGTTACTGCTGTTGATGGTCGTTATCAAATTGGTATTTATAGTGTTCGTAAAATTCAACATGGTGAGGAGATCACTTTTGATTATAATTCTGTTACAGAGGTGTGTCATGTCAACCTTCACTTTCCAACCAACAGAACAATATATATCTGCTTTATAACTTTATCTAATAAATACCTGTTCATCTCATTGTAGAGCAAGGAGGAATATGAAGCTTCAGTTTGCTTGTGTGGTAGCCAAGTTTGCCGTGGGAGCTATCTAAATCTGACTGGCGAAGGAGCTTTTGAAAAGGTTTGGACTTGGCAAATCTTTAACTTTTAGTTCCTAATAATAATATATAATTATAAAGAGAAAATAGAGCAAGCATGTGTCAAAATAGAGTTCGCATTGGTTTGGACACTCATCAGACACCACTACACAGTTCTTTTCACGTTCTTTGTTTTGTGTGTGTATTTGTGTTATATGACAAGTGATATACTACTATAGTTAGATAAGTTGAAGCCTAGAAAGTAGAGATATATACACAGCCAAGGTTATTATAATTGGGATTTTACCTTAAATCTAGTAGCAAGGAGATAAAAAATCACGAATCTTAAGTCGTAAATTGAATTATGGGATTTTAAAAATTCATAATACATTTTCATAATTCATATTCCATACATTATTTTCATCATTCATAACCCTTAAAGTAATAAAAGAAAACCTAAACACCAAAAGCAAATATTAATACTCAAATCCTAGAATCTAGTTGTGGCTGTGTGGGTTCAGACAAGAAGAGCATAAGAATTAAGGAGAGGTTAGGTTCTAACAAACAACAGGAAAAGCCAAAAAGTGAAAAAACTAGAGCTGTCTAGATGGGCTGCTCGACCCAACTTTTATTCGGGCAATTTTTTGTTGCCGTGTCTGGCCTGGTCCACTGGTTTGCAAGGTTGGGCCAAATTGGCCCATCCGCTTGACTATTTTTATATGGCCCATGTTTTTTCTGGCTTGTGGGGTCAGATTGATCCAATTTTCTATTATATGCATTTTAAAAGAAAAAAAAATACTGGGCCAAATAGGCCTGGTACTTTTTGGGCCTAAAATTTCATTGGCTCAGCCCGGCCCATTAGATCAGATCAATTTTGACACCTCTAGAATAAACCCAAGCCTGCATGGCAAATGGAGGTTCGAATAAAAGGATGCATGGAGGAAGAATGACGACTTAGATGGAGGAAGAACGTCAATGGCTCAGCCTCAAGCAGAGGAAGAATGGGGAAAGAAGAACGCCTGGAGAATAAAGGAAGAACTGCAAAGGAGAATGAAGATGAATAATGATTAGAGTTCACAACTTACCAAATTTTAGAAGAGAATGCTGCGTATAGTGTTGGGGTTGAATCTAGACAGAAAATAAAAAACAGGTCAGCAAACAATGGATTGGGTCAAATGTCCAAACAATTTGCTGGTGTAATCATTAAGTTATATGATTTTTGCAATTTTGGGATTTGAATTGTGATTTTACACGATTTTTTGTATCTCATCTTCAATTATAACTACGAATTGAATTGTTGAAAGGGATTGCAATTGTAAAATCAGGGATTTTACAATAACAATTTTAACTACCATGATCACGGTTGAGCACTGTATTAAGTCCCATCACACTGCAACAGTGGGTGGTGCTGGTGCATTTGCTATCCCTGTGTCAGCGATCATTGTCACAGCAGATTTGAGTCATGGCCATTTTCAGTGTCAACAGTGGGCAAAGTGGTCACTTTCCAAAGAGGCATCAAGTTTTCAGTTTTTTGGCGAGGCTGTAACTTCTGATGAGACAACCTAGAGTCTAGGTCGAGACATTTTTGATTTTTTGAAAGAAGATGGTGGATTGTAGGAGGCAACAGCAGCAGTGAGAAAGAGGCTAGGAATGTTTTTCTGAAAGTAGATAGTGGATTAGGAGGTGGCAAATGATGGGAGAAAGACTATGGTTTCTATTGGTTTTTGGGTAAGAGTGGGGTATTGGGCTTGAACCCTAAATTGGGTGGCTCCTTTCCAAACAGTCCAACAATTGGGGAGTTTTTTTTTCCCTCCTTTTTTTAATTTATAATTAATCACATACTATTATAAAACTATATAGTACACTGTAATATTGAAAAAGTATTGATACATAATTATTTATTATATAATGTTATATGATATGGACAAATATATAACATAAGTAATATATAAATATGTAAACAGAATATATATAAATAAAAAAGTAAAAAGTTAAGTAAAATTAATATAATAATCAGAAATATAAATATAATAATAAGAAGAAAGAATATAAAGTATTTTTTGACTAATAAACATATTGTTATGTATGTGAGTGTGTGTATTGGCAATGGCAATATGGCATTTTGGGGGTGGCTTCTCTGTGCCACTATCCGCTATTGAATATTGATTACTATGCGGCAGACACAAGGACATAATGCATTTTTAAAGATATAGGATATAGCATGGCTAGGATACATTATATGAAAAAGTAAAATGAATATTTTATAATATTATAATCAAATATCGATCAATAGAACAACATATCCTGAAACGTGAACATACAAATCCTTGACATAAAGTTGTAAATTTATCTTTAACATATAATTATTAAATTACCATTATTTATCCTATTTTGCTGATCCATTACCGTTTTTCAATAATTATATATTTGCTTCCATTTAGGCATTTGATTGTTCGTTAACTGTTTGTACTGGTGCTCTAAATTTATTTTTAAAATTAGCCATATCTCTAATCCATCGTTGTGTGGTATTGGTTTCCTTTGTCATACTTTGTGATTCTTTGGGGAAAATGCCAGTAGTCTTCAGTGAGTTAACTAGACATGAAACCATAGAATGAGGATTGTTGTAACAGGTGGAATAGTTGTTGTCTTATTTACTATTATTTTGTCTGTCCTGTCAGGTACTGAAGGAGTGGCATGGAATTCTTGATCGTTATTATTTGATGCTAGAAGCTTGTGAATTAAACTGTGTATCTGAAGAGGACTATAATGACTTGGGAAGAGCTGGTTTAGGCAGTTGTTTGCTTGGAGGCCTGCCAGATTGGCTTGTTGCCTATGCAGCTCGCCTTGTACGTGCCTTGTTTCTTTTGTCTTGTCTTTTTTATTTTTATTTTTAAAGTTTTTGCTGTTATTTAATTACCTTGTTATTTTAGTTTCTGACTTGTAATTTATTTTATTTTTGATCTTGTGAAGGTGAGATTTATCAATTTTGAAAGAACGAAACTTCCTGAGGAAATTTTAAAGCACAATCTTGAAGAGAAAAGAAAATATTTTTCAGATATCTGTCTTGAAGTTGAAAGGAGTGATGCAGAGGTTCAGGTGTGCTTTCTGTTTTTCTTCCTATGCTTTATTATTGTAAGACAGCTAGTTTAAATAGCTTTTAATTCTTTCCGAGTGATGTAGAGGTTCAGGTGTGCTTTCTTTTTTTCTTCCTATGCTTCATTATCAAAAGACGACCAATTTAATTAGCTTCTATTTTTTTCTCTTTCTGTTATGATTCAGGCTGAAGGTGTATACAATCAGAGGCTTCAAAATCTTGCTGTCACTCTTGATAAGGTGATTCATTTTTATGAATATTTGCATTTAGAATTTTATTGTAAAAGAGAAATGCCAAAGGTCAACTTTTTGGTATAGATCATTGTTCACTAGAATCACTGGATCAATTCTTTTTAATATTGGAAGCTGCTTGGCTTAGTAGTTCATAGATTGTCAAGAATTTTGGATCTCATATTTCAAGCACTTCACAGTTACACTCTACAATGTAACGGGAAGTGGATCGTGTTGGTATCAATGTAGTAAATTTTTGTTTTCTTCTGTTTGAAGCAAAAGTTAAATCTTTTAGTGGTTTTACAGGTAAGGTATGTTATGAGATGTATTTTTGGCGATCCACTGAAAGCTCCACCTCCTCTTGAGAAGCTCAGTCCTGAAGCAGTTGTTTCCTTCCTCTGGAAAGGAGAGGATTCATTTGTTGAAGAGCTTCTTCAGTGCCTGGCCACTCATGTTGAAGAGTCTACTTTGAATGATCTCAAGTCCAAAATTAATGCTCGTGATCATTCAAGCCCTGGAGATATTCAAAAGGAGGTTCAAAAATCTCTTTTGTGGTAAGTGCTCATGCTTCTAGTTTGTTTTATGTAAATTTTATCCTGTTAGAACTTGCAATCTTTACATTATGTTTCTTTCCCCCTTTCTAAAGGTTGAGAGACGAGGTTCGAAATCTTCCTTGTACATACAAAAGTCGGCATGATGCTGCTGCTGACTTAATTCATATTTATGCTTATACCAAGTACTTATGACTTTAGAATAAGGGTATGTTCTACTGTGAATGCCTATAAACTTTTATATGGTTGAAAACTTTTCTTCTCTCTTCCTGTCATTTTTAATTTATATTTACCATTAATTATTTTTTTTCATGTAGGATTATCAAACTATTACTTCACCACCTGTCTATATTAGTCCACTTGACTTAGGTCCTAAGTATGCTGACAAATTGGGAGCAGAGTTTCAGGAGTATCGAAAGATATATGGTGAAAATTATTGTTTAGGGCAACTGATTTTTTGGCATAATCAGAGTAATGCAGAGCCAGATTGTACTCTGGCTAGAGTAAGCAGGGGTTGCTTGTCATTACCAGACATCAGTTCCTTTTATGCCAAAGCTCAGAAGCCTTCAAGGCATCGTGTTTATGGTCCAAGGACTGTGAGATCTATGCTGTCAAGAATGGTTAGTTATTTTGTATTTGTGTTCTCATTTCTAACCTTTTTGGGGGGGGTGGGACATGACAATTAGGAAATATTTATCTGTGGAAGATATTATATTTCTGTTGAATAACATGTTTTACATATGTTAATGTTTGTAGATGAGAGCGAACTTTAAAAACTGGGAAAGTGTATTATTGAATCATTCTGAACTGTACAGGGGAGGTATATCTGTGTGTGTATGTATATATATGTAGAGGACACTACATGTAGATGGGTCTAACCAACTGTAACTGAAATACAAGACAGGTGTAACTGACTAAAGGATACTGTAGCTACTCTAACAAGTGATTAGTTAGCTGATATATTCATTAATTCTCTTCAAGGTTCTAGGGGTGAATATATTTGTAACAAGATTGGCACATAGGACATATATGCTCTAGCTTGAGGTAGTGTTGAATAACATATTTTACACATGTTTATAATTGTAGATGTCAGTTACTGTAAATTAGCGATTTGGTTGATTCCCTTTTTATTTATGCTTATACAGTAATTACTCATTATAAATAACATACATATGTGTGCCCTAGTGGTGATTAATTAGCTTGTTTGTTTATTCAGGAGAAGCAGCCCCAGAGACCTTGGCCCAAAGATCGGATATGGTCATTCAAAAGTTGTCCGAAATTTTTTGGCAGTCCAATGTTAGACTCTGTAATTAAGAACTCTCCACTTGACAGGGAGATGGTTCAGTGGTTGAAGCACAGACCTGCGATATTCCAGGCCATGTGGGACCAATGAATTTTTGCGTGAAACCCTTGTTAGAGATTAGGGAGTGCTTCATCATTCAGAAGTCAGAACTGCCTGCCTCTTTTAGCGTGGGGAGTCTAATTATTAATCCATCATAATTTCTTCTTTCGCTTTCTCCTTCATTCTTCTGTACAGTTTTCTTTACCTTTGATTTGTAACTCATTTCGTTGTAGGGCATTATTTTACTCTTTCTAATGTGAAATGAAATTAAGAAAAAAAAAAGGTTTAATTCAAGGCATTGCTGTCTTCTCCTCTTGTCTGTTAATTGACTTGAGTCAATCCTATGTTGAAATGTGGAGTTCTTAATGTTTCTTTTGCGTTGTCCTCAGCTTTTGAACATGAGTGGTAAAAGTATGACCACAAAAGTCGACCATGTTTAGTAAGTGATTCTAATGTATGAATTACTTGACGGGGGGAATGTGATCTTTCAAGGATCTTAGAGATATGAAATAAATAATTAACCCCATATTTGGAAGACTGCACACTAGTGTATAAAACGGGTTTTGTGAAGTTTATGCACCTACAGTCAAAAGAGACGAATTCGTGAGGATGGGATCATTTTAGCAGTGGAAAGTCTCTGGTGAACTGTGAAGCGAGTATTTAATGTTCCTTTTAACTCGTAAGACTGATGAGATGCTTGAGTTTGTAGGACGGTATACATTTGGAATGGGTATTCAAGTTCTCACAAATTTTAGAATTTTGCTAAGATTAATTACTTTGAAAGACTATTGCAGACGAATGCAATTAGTGCCAACTTATATGAGAAAATAATTTATGTATTGAAAATGTATTTTTTTTATGTTATCTAATTAAAATTTGTTATGTATAGTAAATTTATTTTTATAAAAATTACTTAAATGTTACGATATTTATGATTGTTTAGTGCGTGTTTGGTTTTGATTTATAAACGTAATTTTTCTTTCTCTCTCCACGTTTACAAGCAAATTTACGTGGAAGCTTCAATTTATTGCTTGCTTCCTATAAACGTGAATTTTCACGTCCAAAAGCTGAAGCAAACACACGCTTAATAGTGTATAGTTATTAAACTCGACTTATATTTGTTTTTCCTTTTTGGTCTGCTTTGTGTTCCTAGTTACCGATTGTGTATCTTAAGATTAGTGTTGTGGTTATAGTACAAAATACAACTGAGTTTGAAATGTACCGCGTGTTTGAATTCGCGTCAATAATTCACGTATCGACGAATTTGACGCGGAAGCAAGATATAATAGTTTCTTATTTTCACGTTTTGTACGCACGTCGAGTTCACTAGACGTCAATCCAAACACGTGCATATTTGTTAGGAAAAAATAATTATACATTTTGCTAGAGTATCATTTGTAGGGATTGTGTTGAGATAATGGATGATTGTCGTATATTGCATTTTGACCTTTATTTGATATTATAATTGTACATTTTGTACTTTTAAGAAACTTTGTTAACCCTTGGAAATTAGTTATTTTTTGCAATTTTTGGATTATTCTTTTGTTTATTTTATTTTGATGAAACTTGTCAAGATTGTGTTGAGATAATGAATGATTGTCGTATATTGCGTTTTGACCTTTATTTGATAATATAATTGTATTTTTTACTTTTAATAAACTTTTTTAGTCCTCGGAAATAGCTTTTTTATTACAATTATTTAGTTTTGATTTTGGTTCTTTTAAATTTTTATTTATTTTTTATTCTGCTAAATTTTGAAACATTATTTTAATTCTTAATAATTAAATTTTGATTTATTCTTATAAAATAATTTTTCTTTGTTTTTAATCCATTTAAGATTTAAAATCATTTTTATTTTATTTTTAATAGTCATTTTAATATAGATAAATAATAATTATTTTAAAAGATCTCATTACAAGAAATGTTACACAAAATTTTTATTATAGATATAATATATGTAGATATAAATTTATTTAATATATAACTACACATGATTTTAATGTTGATTTTGAATGAGATGTAACATGTATCGTATGTCACTATAGTCTTTTTCTACACTTTTTAACAATATACTAACATATGTTATATCCATAATATAAGTAAAAGTAGTTTCTAATAACAAATATTGTGTTATTATAAAGTGTGTTTATATGACATTTTTTTGTAGTGTCTACAAGAAATTTTAGAAGTGTCAAACATCAAAATGACATCACTAATAGTTGTGGAAACACCTAAAATGATCACATAATCTTTTAATAAATAATAAATAGTTAAAAATGATCACATAAAAATAAGGATTAAAAATAATAATTTCAATTTTAAAGGGATAAAAAAGTAAAGAAAATTTTTTACAAGAACCAAAATCAAAATTAGTTAGTTTTGTGGAGAATAAAAATATATTTAAGTCAACTTATAAACTTTAAGTTAAAAAATAAAAATTTATAAACTAACTAATTGAATTAATTGAAAATGTTTAATGAAATTAGCTCATTAGTTAGCTAGGCTCGAGGTTTCACTCATGTTAGGTGTCAATCATCTTGCCTATATGTGGTTCACTTGATTAACGAGACTATATTGACTAATCATAGGTATCATCATAGTAGTCCCAAACCACAAGGGCAAACACAAGGTAAGCTAGTGATACAAAATTATTTTTGTACAAGAACATGCAACATAAACAAAATAAGATAAACATCATTTATTAAATCGTATCATGTCTCATCATACAACTTAAGGCACTCAAACAATGTGTATAACTAGGTAACTTCATTATAGATACAATACAACATAAAGTCATTAGACAACATCACACTCACAACTTTCATCCAATAACAACTTCTACATCTTTACACTTTCAATTTAACCACTTTTAGTATGCACGTATACACATCATTAGACAACATGTACAATTATATTATCAACACATCATAAATAGCATAAAACAACACAAACATACATTCGACTACCATCCACCACAACACCTTCAATAGAGCGACATAATCTACAAACATATAAATACAATTGATGCATTGTCACACATATCAATTATGAAGATCTCCTACAATTGAGGTGAGTAGTTTAAGTGGTTTGACCTTATCGAATCACAACGACTGATATAAAACCAGAAACAATGACTAACATTATGGTAAAAAAAATCGGTTGACACTAAGGTCAAAAACAACGGCTAGCATAAGGCTAGAAACAATGACTAACATAAATTAGATTGATTTATCAGGTTTTGCCACTTAAATAAGGAAGTATGGTACTATGTTAGGATAAAAAAATTTGGATATGAGCCTATTATGGCATTAATCTACAACACTAAGTCACCTATGGAATTAGTCAACTGACTACCCTCTAAATACCATAATCTTCTGATACTAGGTTAGAGACTAAGTTCCCAACCTGATACTTTACTCGGTTGGTCACTTGTAATCAGTATAACTCGACTTGATCCCTATACTGTGGTCGCTTTATACACATGTGTCTTGACCTTGCCCATACATGGATTACCACATAGAACCTAAAGGAAACAATTGAAAACAACGTACCCATTCATAAGCCAACTTACTTACTGAAGGATTCACCACAACATATATCCACACAATGGGATATTAAAGTTCAAAAACATTTTTAACTCTCCTCTAGTTTCTACGTATTGTAGCTAAGATATGTATCTAACTCACATATATATAGCTTATCAACTTAACAATTTATTCATCTTTCAACATTCAACTTAACAGCTTTAACAACATGCAACATTCAACTTCACATCATGTCATATTAAATAACGTACATCTTTACAACATTCACATCTTTAGAAAACAACATCATAAATCTACTTAAGCAACTATAACGACTTACAACTTTACAACTTTCAACTTTAACAATTGTCAGCATCCATCTTACAACTATAAGACAACTTAAAACATCAAAGTAATATAGCAACTCAACATCAAAGTAGCTTTACAACTTTAAGTATACATCAACATAAATAACATATTGACAATCAACTGAAAACAACCAAATAATTTAACAACTGAATAACTTAAGACACAACTTACAACATGCATAGTAGTTTCAACATAACGACTTCAATCACAACTTAAAACAACTTTAAACATCCTCATACATCATCATCCATATAAAAAATTCATCATATAATAACTTGGGACATCGTATATTACCGTATGCTATGAAGGAATTGACACATATCATTTTCAATATGAAATCAACACTAAGCATACAACGTCAACTTCCATAGAACAAAACATAATTGGAGTTCCACTATTCTGATTGAACTCATCTTTATCTCATATGAACGGGAAAAAGATTTTCTACAACTTTAATGAAGAAATCAGGTTTTAATTCCATCATCTACCATGTTGAAAATTGTAAAAATCGCAACAGTTTGCCTAAATACTGACAACTTGACCTTTGCTCACTAAAAAAGTCATAACTAGAGTTTTAGACCTCCTTTTTAGGTGATTCCAACGTCAATGGAAAGCTAAAATCCAAGGCTACAACTTTTATGAAGACATAAAGAACAAATTAAATCATTTACTCCCACCAATATAGCCCTTATTCAGCGCTCTATTGAGAATTCCGTTGAAACACTTTTGTTAATATTTGTAAACTCGTTTAATTCTATCAACGGTCTCAAACACGACAAGTATACCGGCCGTTCAAGTAGTAAAAATATCGTATCCACAGGGATTAGAAGGTAAAATAAGAATTTATTGACTATTCGTGACTAAAGAATAATTCCAATTTCATAGTTTGTGCAGTGAATTCAAAGTTGTGACTATTGGAATGAAAGCTGTAAATAAATATTGTTTTGTGAGTGGAAAAGGTAAGGAATGGTATTGTGGTATTGTGAGGTTGTGGGGGTCAGATTTCACCAAACGTAACACTAATGTATCCTTAATCTCTTGTTGAATTCATTGCTTAGTCAACCCAAGAGTTTACTCAAACCTAATCCCTTAGAGAAAGAGCCTAGGTGCGGATATTGAATATCAATCCCTTGAGTACCCAATATCTACACCCGCATTACGGGCTAGGGTTTAAGACTACTAATGGGTCAAGCTCTATCCCTAGATACAATCACCACTAGGCATATGTTTCAGAACTAGTTTCAAAGGTTATTTTCCAATACCCATGGAACCTTAAATCATGCAAAGGGTGATCAATCCAAAGCAAGCATTAAGAATAGAAACAAACACAACAAAGAATAAAACAACATGTATATATATCATTAAAAACGTAAGGATTACAATAGAGTACGTTGGTTACATCTAACCCCACAAAAATGGGTGAAACCACTCAAGACAATGAGGGCAAAACCAAAATAGAGATGGAAGAGGAAATGAAGAACCGAAGGAAAGATCCGCACACGGACGATCCCAAGCCCTGGGAATCCCTTCCGCAGCTCCTGGAGGCGCCCAATGTGAGAATGGGGGTTTCTCCCCCGAAAATGGCTTCAAATACGGGCCATGGAGATCAGATTAGGGTTTCGCGCCTGGCGTGTAAGTCTTCGCGCCCGGCGCGTACTCTTCTGTGCACTTTCTGCCTCAGTGTAAGCCCGGCGCAATTTCCTTTTACGCCCGGCGCGATGTCTTCTAGAGAGTTTCAAGCACTCTCTGTCTCGACCACGCCCGACGCGTGTATTCTCTCGCCCGGTGCCATGGCTTCCAGGCTCTGTTCTTCTCAAGCCCGGCGCGAGTCATCTTGCGCCTGGCGCAATTTCTTCTCTGCTCCTTAGCCTCTTTAGTTTCCAATCCTATGGATCTTCAATCCTCAAGGCACTAGCTCAATACCTGCACAAAAAATGAGGTGTATTAAGGTATTGTTAGCTAAATTTGGGTTAGTTATATCTGCACACAAAATGAACCAAAAAGAGAACAATTATATTGCAATGGTTCAGAGGATGAGTGGAATTCGTTCAATAAGTCTCATCCAAAAAGAGGTAAAATTGAGACTTAACACGCTCCAACGCCAACTCTTGGCCAACACAACTTTTTCCACGGCTACAATGCCCAACCACGACTATAGCGCTGAGTCTCAACCATCCCAATTTTTCCATAGCTACAACGCTGAGCCAAGGCTGCAGCGCTGAGTCTTAGGCATACCATTTTTCCCCATGGCTGTAGTAGTGAATCACGATCGTAGTATTGAGTGCAAAATTTTCTTCATTTCCATGGCTTCTACCTTCGATTCTCACCTTTTCTTCACCAATTTTTCTCCTAAACATGATCTACACTCATTATCTCTACTAGATTCATTCATGCAACTCAGAAAACCACAAAAAGAACCACATGCAAGCATCAAAAACTCAAAGAAATCACCAACATTTCAACCTTTCACCAAGAACACCAAAACCCTAATTTTCAACATGCAACCCCTTTGAATTTATCCCTACAACTACAAAATTTTGAAATTTCATCAACAATAAGTTTTTAATTCATTCAATAGTTCAATGTTTCAATCAAAATCCAAGATTCTAGCTTCCCTTACCTTTTTGGAGAACCAAAATCTACCAAGAGGAGAAGAGAAGATGAAAAAACTCTACTTGCTCCGTACGATTTTGAAAACAATCCGTAACTCAACAACTCAAACTTCTCCATTACTCTAGCTAACTCTATTTTGAGTTGATCCCAAGAGAAGAAGAGAAAATGAAGAAGAAAGAATTGCTCCAAGCTAGCTCTGTACTCAATTCTGAATGAAAGAAAAGAACGAAAAAGAAAGAAAAAAATTGGTTCTCACTCTCTAAAATGATCGTGAATAGAGTGTTATAGTAACGACCTGCTAAATGACTCAAATTTATTTATTATTATTTTTTTAAAAAAAATTAAAAGAAAAAATTAATATTTTAAATGAGGTCGCTATGGATAATTATTTTTTTTAAAAAAATAATTAAAAGGATCATTTCATTTAAAATATTTTTATAATTTGTAAAAGATAGGATCTTTCGTTTATAAAATATATGCATGAGTAAACTTTAAATAAAAAAAAGTCACTCGTATAATTAAATAAAAAACATTTGTAAAAAAAATAAAAGTTTTAACATTTTTGCAATGATCTGACCTAAAAAAGAGTTTTGTTAAAAAAAGTGCTTGTAAAAACAAAAGTCTAACCCACTCTTATTTTTATTTTTATTTAATTTTTTAAAAGTTATTTTAAAAAAAATCCTGAACACTCTTTTTTTGAAAAAAAAAAAAAAAACTTCAACGTGTTTTTAAAAAATTGGGATAACAAAAAAAGGAGTTCAGGATGTGTGAGTTATTGTGAACTTTTTAGCACTAAGTTTGATTCTTAATAATTAAAAAAATAAGAATAATTGGAAGTTAATGTGTATGGACAAAAGAAGACTTTGTCCATTTCTCCAATTTCTTATTAATGGGACTTAAAATTTAATTTTATATTTATTCTTGGAATTATTAAATATATCGATAACGATTTCCTATTAGGTTTTTTTAAGAACCTATTAGTTTTTTTTTCTTCTTAGTTACTGTAATTAAGATAATAATAATTTTAGTTTTTCTGGTTATCCCAAGTAGGACAATAATTTAGATTTTCCTAATTAATATGATTTAATATTTCCTAATTACCTTATTATATACTCAATTATAATAATAATAATAATAATAATTATTATTATTATTATTATTATTATAATTATAATATTAGATTTCTCTCTTCTACTAGTTACGAATATTACACTTCTCTTTTTTCTTAAGCTAAAAATTATAGTCTTCTCTTTTGAAAAATTTCAATATATAACATTTTATTCATTTTTTTAAAATTTTTCATTAAAATTTTGTTAGTTTTTGTTGCAAAAAAATTTATTATCAAAATACCCTTACACTAACATCCCTTCACAAATATAAATATTACACCACCCTCTCTTATGTTAAACTAAACATTTTTCTCCTTAACAAATTTAAATATATTACATTTTAATAATTTATCTCTTAATTTATATATTTAATTATTATTTTAAATTTTTTAACAAATTTTGCTAAATCAATTATATATTTTAAAAAGATATTTTTCATTATTAATTACAAAATATTTCAAAGTCATATATCAAAATAGAAATAGGTAAACATTAGAAATAATTAGGCACATTGTTCAGTAAATATACATTAATTATCAAGGGTAAAAATGAGAAAAAAAATTAATAAGTTATTGATTTTAGTAAAATGACAATAAAAAAAAATGACAAATTCTGACAAAACGACTATGAATAAAAAACTTAGGGAGTACAGTTTTTCATTAAAAATTACTCGAAAAAATGTTTAGATTCACTTTTCAATAAAAAAATATTCTTCTTTTGATTTTTTAACTAGTAGTACTAACAATGGTTAATGTTTTTCTTTTACTAATGAAAAAACTCGTTAATTATTCTGGTTTCTCTTTTATAATTTCCTTTTATTTAAGGAATCTCTACATTTATTATTATGATATTTTATATAAAAATATATTTTTCGTCTCTTATATTATTTATTAAATTTAGTTTAGTTATACTTTGATTAATTGAATTAATTTAATTCTCATATTTTAAAAATATATTTTAATATAAATATATTTTTTGACAAATGATTAAATGAAAAAAAATATTTTTATGAATAATTAAATGAAATATATTTTTTTTGTTCATAAACATGATCCATATAGTGTTCTAAAACAAATAATCAAAGATTAATTTATGCTTGCGAAACATGAATTCCATTGATTAAGTGTTACTTCAACAAAAATAAGAATCGAATTAGAAAGTATCAAATTAACTTCTTATGTTCCAAGTAGACCTTATAACTACTAGGTCAAGAGGTTTAGTTAATTAAAAATATAATAAAAAAATAATAATATAATACTCGTATCTTTAAAGGATAAAAATATAATTTACTTAATATTTTAACATATAAAAGATATATAATGTAATATTTATATTTCTAAAAAAAAAAGGAGTATAATTTACATTGATAATATTAAATTAAATAAACTAAATTATATATTTTAATATAAAAGAATTACATAATACTCTTATTTCAGGAGAGAATAGTGTTACTTAGGCTTCACTTATATATAAAACCATGTAGACCTGTCAAAATTAACATGACAATATCTTTCTTCACATACAATACATTTAGTTCCCCACAGTTTCTGATCTTAAACTTGGAACGAACAGTTCTCCCACCACACTAAATGGATAATCCTAAAGTAACAGGCCTTTTTCTGTGTCTCCTAATCGTAACCATGGATGTAGCAGCTGGGGTTCTCGGCCTACAGGCTGATGTAGGCCTAAACAAGGTATTCTTGAAGCTACCTACCTCTATTTCTGAAGAAATGTGTACAAAGATAACTTCAATGCAAAGTCTATGTACAATATTTTAAGTTTGAGTCTTGTTGTGGTCTTTGTAATCTTTTAACCGATAAAAAAAAATGTAAAATCTATGCTAATCTGTCAAAGTTGTCTTTAACAAGCAGGTTCAGAGAAAGCCAGTTCATAAGGCCTACGTGATGGGGTTGATTGCAACAGTACTTTTGGTAGTAGCCCATGTCATGGTGAATTTGCTATGTGCGTGCCCTTACATTGTGAAGACTTCATTCTATAGGATAGCCAGAGTGTTTTACCTTGTTTCAATTTGGTAGTGTATCTCTTTCTCTTTCACTATTATGAATCATTAATTCATTCACCAAACTTATATATAACTTTAGTTTTGTTTTCTCCTTTTGATTGTGTTAACGTTGTGGATGATCAGGGTCATTTTTGGTGTTGGATTGGTGTGGCTGGTGATGGGGACTATGGCAAACAAAAGGTCACCAGGTCCATATTTCTCATCCTATCGCCTCTTGCACGATGGTGGGGTGTGTTGTTTTCTTCACTCCATTTTGTGTTTTGCATATTACATTTTCGCCACCGTAAATCTGTGATGTGATCACAAATCAAAATAACTAGCTTTTAGAGGCCAAAATTAGTTATAGCATTAATTGGTATTTGTTAGGATTATTCTCATTTATTTCTAATATCGAGATTCCTGCTTTTTAATTTAATTGATAATGACAAGAGTCAGAATATATTTTTTGATTCATGGTCAGAAATATTTGATTACATTGTATATTAATTACTAATGATGGTGTAAGATTACATCCTCTCTCTTCTCTAGTTCCTTTACAATGATGTATGAAATAAGGTTTAATCTACATCTGGTTTATGATTTTTTTAAATTTTTAATTAAGTTTCTAATCTATGAAAAATTGTAAATGACTCTTTCATTTTTCAATTTTTTTTAATTTAGTCGTTATAATAAAAAAGAGTTGTTTGAAATATGTGAAATTTCAAAATATATATATATATATATATATATATATATATATATAT